TTTTAAGTTGAATTTGTATGTAAGTCGGAACTGGTACATATTGTAGGGGAAACTCTAGCCAAACATTTCTCCAGAGCTCAGTTTTATTCTCCCACACCTCACTTCCCTCAGTCCTTTATTCTCAAGCTGAGGTGTCTGTTGAGAAAAGCCGCTCCGCGTCTCCCTAGTCTGCTGGGGGGGTGCTAGCTTCGCGTCTCCCTGGTCTGCTCGGAGGAAGCAACTAGTGCGGGGTTGCCTCACCCCGTTTGTAAGTAGGGATCCGATGTAAGTCGGATCCATGTAACCCGGGGACTGCCTGTACTGGTATAACTGCTTTAACTATACCAATGTCGCTAAAGTGGTAAAATTTTTATGTGTAGACAAGGCCTTGTTTTGCTAAAAATACCTTCTCTGTTCAACAGATAATCAGAACCAGCAGGAAAGTAATTTTCCTACATGTGAAGGGACATAGTGAAAGTGCTGAAGCCAAAAATGTTTCCTCCTGCACACTCCCTCTTTGAACAAGGCATATTTCCCCTAGATGTGCTGGGAGCAGACAGGAGAGGGGAATTCAGTGGGATCTCTAGAGTGAAACGGACTTTAACAGGATTAAAATCCTAGTTTATAGTTTGAACAACCAAGTAAATCAGACTCAGGCACCTCATTTTAGAGATTGAGGTGGGGAGAGAAGTTCTCTGTGAATGAAGTCAAGCGATAGGAGAGGGGGAGGTACTGAGACTTGGGCAGCCAGCTCTTGGCTGGGAAGGTGAGTTCCAGTGGTTGCAACCTGCTGCCAAGTCTCTTCCAGTGCCTCTGGGTCTTATTCCCTGCTCCCTAGTCAGATCCTGGGTCCTGTGGCAGTATCTCCAGCTTCTCTGGATCCAGCCATCCACCTCTGTCCTAGATGCATGCAAATTTACACAGAGGTGGAGATCCCACAATATTTCCATTGAAGGGAAGCTAGTCCCCCCAACCTTGCTCAGTTCCGACCGCCACCCTGATCTCTCTCTCTCCTGTTCTCTGCCTGAGGCACACAACTGTTTATTGGGCTCAATATAGGGTTAGCTGGATGAAATGGAATGGCCTGTGATACACACAGGAGATCAGACCAAATGATTCAATGGTCCCTTCTGGTCATAAACTCTATGAAATCTGGATTTGTCAGTGACACAGCATGAATATGTGTGTGTGTAACATTGAGGAAGGAGTAAACCTTACAACAGCTATTATGTCTCTTCTCTAACATCATTGTTGTGATCCATCTGGGTAGTAACATTCTTCTAATTACATTCTACTTTTAAAACAATGGCCCTATTCCTGGAATAAACTCTGTGTAGAATCCTGCTCTTGCATAGAGGCCTATGAAGTCACAATGCAGGATCAGAGTCTGTGTGATTGAAGTATTTATTAACCTGACGTGAATATAATATTTATTCAGCATCAGTAAAAGTTAACTTTCTTAAAGTTGTTTACAGCATATATCTAACCTATAGAATTAAAGACAATATTGAAGGTGTTTTAAAATTTGATGAGTATACTATAATAAGCATTGAAAAAAGCCAACATTAATTACAAGATCTACAAAGATGACATAGATGTTAACATTTTCCCAACACAATTATTGATATATTTACTTTTGTTTCTTAGATCCAAGAAATTGATGCTTTAAGGACAGAAAATAGAAAGCTAAAAAATGCAGTATGTGGTTTACATAGTGTATTTCAATTTTTAGTTGGTTAAATGCATGATATTCCTCTGCATTTGCTCGGGCAATAATTACAGAAATGATTTTAACTAATTCTGGATTTTCAGTATAAAGAGATTTAAGTGTTAATCTATTTATTATATATTTTGAAGAGTTTGTTTGTGGATTTGTTTGTGTAAATTTACGATTTATGAATGGAGATGCCTATCTCCTAGAACCGGAAGGGACCTTGAAAGGTCATCAAGTCCAGTCCCCTGCCTTCACAGCAGGACCAAGTACCATCCCTTATGTCATACTTAGTGATTACCCACAGATACCAAATTTTGCATAAACAATCCTGCCACTTAAATTAGCTGAATGCACTACATTTTACACCGGAATATGCTGGGTAAAAGGTTTAAATAATTATTTTAGTTTTTCGTTGGAAAAAAATCATTACTATTTTGATTAGCAGTTATAAAAATTTTTGCTAACAAAATTAAAATAGAATCACTTATTCAATTGTCACTTTAATGCAAAGAAAATTTTTACTGTTGCAAATCACAAAATAATTCAAATTAGTTACAGAAAGAGTAATGGAAGCTTTATGAGTTAATTCAAATTTACTATGTATGGTAATTATTCAATAAAATGGATCATGTTTTAAATCCTACAAATTTAAAACTGTTATTTTACTTCCCTTTTGCAAGCACATTAATTACAAAGTCTATTACATATATTTAATTTCTTGAACTTTCCTAGAAGAGTAATCTATGAAAAATGGCTTTGCCTGGTCAACGATGAGCCTCACCTGCTAGTATATATAAATTTTTAGAGTGCGTCTGTGGGTCTGTCTGTGGGTCTGCAAGTCCGTTTGTTCAAAAACCTAAATGGTAAGAGCTAGGACCACCAAATTTGGTATACAGCTTCCTCTTAAAGCAAGATCAGGATTTGTTATGTCAGGAAAACAGGAAGTGCCAAGAATGGGACTGTTGTCCAGAACATGGAAAGGGTAGGGGCAGAGAGGAGGGACATGATATTCACAGTGATCACTGGCGGGCAGCGACTGCAGGGAACAGCTGTACTACAGAATGACCATTGGGGGCAGCCGCACCAGTAAGACAGTGGTTCCTAGATCTGGACAAGCAGGCCATAGAGGTGGGTCGCACTGGAAGCTGGGGGTAGCCTGTGAAGCCTTGCCTCCTGACAGCTGGGAGGCTGCTAAAGGCCGGGGACAGCCCACAGAGACTTTCCCTTCCCCCAGCAAAGAGCCTGGGGGCCCATTAGAGGCTGGGGGCAGCTCTGCAGCCTGCTTCCCTCTGGCAGCCTGTAGGCTGGGGTTGACCAGCTGGAGACCAGGGACAGTCCCCTCACCCCCGGACCATCTGCATGGTTGGGGGGTGCTGCAGGCCAGGGATAGCCCCCAGAGCCTCACCCTCTTTCTCACCAGGACCAACAGCAGGGCAGAAAGGGGCCATTGAAAGCTAGAGCCAGCCAGCCCCCAGAGCCGCACCCTTTCCCAACCAGATACTGGGCCTGAGGAGGCTGCTGCAGGCCAGTCCTGGTCTCTGGATTCCTGCATCCCCCACACCTGCAGCCCCCTGCACTGAGCTCCTCCTTAATGACCCGAGCAATGCCGAGTAAATTTGCTAATGTATCTTTATTTGTGCCTAATACCATTGTCATTCTGTTTTTCATTAGAACTCAAGGCTGCGTTATAAAACCAAAGGTACATAATCTAAAAAGAACCTAATAATTAAAAATTTCCCAACTGGATCATTATAGACGTTAGGAAAAGAATTGAAGATGAAATATGTGGGTCTGAAAAGGTTTAAATGAAAAATTATGGTAGAAAAATTATGGAAGTGAAGAAATTGGGAGATGTATTTTAAAATTAATCACCAATAAAATGATTTAGACTTTGAGGTATTACTCTGACCTAAATGTTTACACTTAAATGCCTTAAATTTAGCACCTAATATGTATCATGAGTTGTGCTGAACATTCACATTTCACCTTTAAGTCAATGGAACTTTGTATAGAAATCCATGGTTAAGGTATAGATATCTTAGACCCCAATCCTGCAACATGTAGCGTGCAGACAGACGACTGCACCTGCATCGAAGCATATAAAAGACAACATATTGCACACTACATCACTACATTTTACAGGATCAGAGCCTTAAATAGGTTATAAATGGACTTAGTGAAAGAAAAAAAACATTCACAAAAAAGAAAATAAGTGTAGAAAATGGATCTTTTAATATCGGAAAATAATGGGGAACTGTACAGAGTTTGATAAAAACAATTTCATCCTTTTTTTTTTTTTTGTGGTGGAAACATTCATTGCGTCCTTTTTTCTCCCTTCTCTTCCTAGATTGGGCATTAAAGAAAGAAGAATATGAAAAGTAAGGTTGATGCACTAGTAGTTTTTTACAAAGGGTTTAAAAAGGTCCACAACTGTGCTAAAATGTATTTGTTTTCAGTAGTTTATCCCAATTTTGCATAAAATGGATTTATTCCTGTCAGAGTTCATTTAGAAAAATTTCACTATTGTGCCTGTTTTGCATCTGAATTCCCCTTGAACCAGAATTGTTGTTTGTTTTCCTTTTTCCTACATGGGATGAAATTAAACAAATGTAAATTTAGGCTGAATAGCAGGAAAACTTTTCAATAATGATTTCTGGTATACTGGGGAATAACTAAGGCCATTGCTAAAGAGTCACTGAAAACTAGACATGAGAAAGCACTAGCACATGTTTAAAATTAAAAATGTATTTAAGTACTCTGATAAATTGGGGCCATAGGGAACATCCCTGCATTGGCTGGGCTGAATTAGATTAAAATTCCTCAATTACAGGTGAGTCAGCTAAAATTCTATAGCCCATTTAAGTCCCATTTCAGCCCCTAGTATGAAACTGAAATGGACTTGTGATTCTGTTAACCAGGGATGAATGAATTTCAGATAAATGAATACATTTTTCCAACTGCTAGCTGCTATGATTCTAGGATAAGATGTCTTCATCAATTTTGTAAATTAAAAGAGTTCTGGTGAGTGACACATCGACTTGCATTTTGCTTTGTTTTTAAAGTGAGATAGAGAGACTTTCTGGCGAGATATCTAATTATTTAAATGTCACCAATTTCTGGGTGAGTATATCTGTATTATTAACAGTCCTAGGGGAGGGGCTTGATGGGATTACTTTTCTTGAATATGTTGTTGTGCTGTCAGATAGCATGATATAAAAATAGTCAGACCAAAGGAAAGAAGCATAGAGACATTAATTGTACCAATTGTTGGCATTCATTCCATTTGTTTAGAGAGATGAGAATACTGTCAGAGACAGACAGAAAAATTATAAATCCTAAATCTTTGTCTTATCTCCTCTGCCTGCTTTAGGGAAACAAATGCTAGTGCTGTATTTGGGACATAAGCAGACATACTGCATTCCCAAAGTGTTTTTGTTTTTTCACAGAAATGGCAAACTTTTTGTGATTGACTGAAATAAACTTTCTCTCCTTTAGTATGAAGAGTCAGAGCTTTTGAATGGCCCAGGTATGTTACTTTTAGAGATCGCAAATAACATTTAAGATAGTCCTAAAAATACTTTGTCTGGCCATCATGGGGTTTTTTTGTTTGTTGCAAAGCTACTGTAGCGTGTGCCTCACTATCTTATACTCTGCTATCATTTTCACTGGTTTGTACTGAAAATGTTGATCCTATTAGAGCACAAACAGCAGCATGTTCATTTAAAATACATCACAAAGCAAATAATGTGAATGCAGTGTTAAGGTTAAAAAACCAAGCATGCAGAATTCAGGAAATGCTAATGTTAGAAAGACCATAATATATTCGTACATTTAACAGATAAGACAGCACCGAGGGAACTGACCAAACATGTGAGGTGAGCAACAAACAGAACAGATCACATATACCAACCATCATTGGAAAGGAACTGGAAACACGAAATAATATCACAACATCATCGTTCCACAGATTGTGGAATATGAGGTCAATAACTCTTGGGTGAACTTTCTGAAAATAGATTGTCTGATTTTCAGACGTGAGCACTCACATATCTCATGGACTTCTATTGAATCGCATCACTACAAATCAGGTCTGTGCCATCTCAGGACCTATACTTAAAACTGGTAGTCACAGTTGTCTTGGGCTTTAAAACGTTAAGCTGCATTCTGTAAAATGCATTTGGTGTCTTAAAAAGAACTTTAAAAAAGTGCAATCCCACATCAATGTTATTTAACTATACATTTTAATTTTGAAGTACCTACATCTAGCAATAAATTTGTAGGAGCCTAAGGCAAATGGCAGGTTAAACATAAACAGTCTAGGATTTTTAATATTATAAGTACCCAAAAACTGCAGTTTAAAGGGCTAGTCCTGAATGATCACCTTCAAGTGATTGTACTTGCATTTGAACTTCTAAAGCTCTCAGACAGAGGGTGCTCTTGGATCAGAGAAAAGGTAACAGCTGTTCTCTCTATTAATTCCTTACATTGCAATTCATTAGAGATAAACCAATTTAAATGTTGTGGTTTTGAGGTACTTACATTACCATGCTGAATTAAGTGGCCACAGCCTTCCGTCCACTGTAGGGATGCTGTAAAGGGCCAGCACTGCCCAAAGAATGGATGATATTTGCAGGGTGTCCTCTTAGCAGTTTTTTGGGAGGGTTGGTGGGGAAATCCTAGTGGGATTTAAAACTAGTAAGTACTGCAAGCAGTGTTACTACCATGGCTCTCCCTATCTGGTTTAAATGAAGATCCATAGGAGGGACTACTAAGAAAAGGTCAATTACAAGCTAGCAAATATAATGAGAAAATCTGCTAGGAAATGTTTGAACAGGATTAGCCAGTTTCAGAATCCTTTGTATATAGTTGTGATACATGCGTCCCTAATTCCGTGTCTACATTGAAATAGATGTTTCCTACCATAACTTGTGAAGGATTCTGCTGTAGTCTCTAGATACCCTAAGAAGTGAACTTTCAGTATAGTGCTCTAAGAGTCGAGCCTTCCAGCCTTTACTTTTTGAAAGTTTCATAGCTAAATCTCTGTGCATCTTGCTAAAAATGTTTCTAAAAGTATGCAACCAGTTCTCGATATGAGAGTGTCTGGAAATTAGAAGCTGGCACTGGAATTTGGATGATCTTATTTCTCTCTCTGACTCTGCCACCGCCACTGCTTCACTGTATGATGCTGGTCAAGCCATTTAACTTTTACATGCCTCATTTTTGCTTTCTACAAAATAGGAATAATAATACTAAAATATCTTTCTAAAGTGCTTTGAGAACCTCAGATGAAAAGTGCTATATAAATGTCTTTATTGTTAATCTGTCACTAAGGCATCTAGTGAATTATCCTGATTTATCAGCATTCAACGTCTTCACCTCCCCATAGATGTGCAATAGAAAATGTACATCTAGAATTAGATCTAAATTGCAAATATCTCAGTTGCATTGACCTGAGGGACCTTTATCAAATAAATAGGGCAGATTTAGTGTTCTGAACATCTGATTTGCAATTATAAAACTCCCTGTAAACACACATTCAGGTTTTGACAGGGTTCAAACCTGCAAATGCCTAGGACTTTGAAAAGTTGGGTTCACTCCCCTGCTGTGCCACATATTCTATGTGACCTTGGGCAAGTCACTCAATACCTCTGTGCTTCAGTTCCCCATCTGTAAAATAGGGTTAATAGCTGTGACGGCGCGTTGGGGGTCCCCCGTCTCCTGCACCCTGAAATGGCACAAACAGACTGCACCAGCCGGTGGAATAGAGGAAGTTTATTGCCTCTCCAGGATACAGCACAGCACAGATGGAATCTGGTCACAGAGCTGGGCTAGGATGCCTCAGCCCCCCTTGAGATGGGGGAGACTGGGCCCCTAAACTCCAGCCCCTTCCCCTAGGCTCTCCTCCATGCTCTCAGACAGAACTAACTAAATTCCCTTCCAGCCCTGCCCCCCAGCCAGGGCAGCATTCCACCTTCCTTTGTTCCTCTCCATGGGGGGTGTCTGGCCACTGGTTCAACAAGTTTGGCACTACCTTTGCATAGTGAGGTTTTCCCTGCTGGGTCTTGCTCCAGACAGCAGGGGTCACCACAGCCCAGCAAGTACCCCCACTACGTCACAATAGCACTTCTGTCTCACAGGAGAATTGCAAGGATAATGCACTAAAGATTTTGTGGTGCTCAGTTGGAGGTCATATAAGTAGCTATGATGGACAGATAGCGCTGCATTTTTGTAAGCAGGGATGGGTGATTTGCTAAATGTGTGATAAATAAACAATGACCACAGTTGCTCAGGATCTTATTTTTTTTCTAACTTGGTATGTTTTTCTCTGGATCTTATTTAAGGAGTCTTTGGAAACAAACCTCACTTTCGTTACTTACTTTATCTAATTGCTACAGCTATGCTTGCTCTCAGTGGAGTTACTTGCAGTTTCATTTGTCCTTAAAATGAATGTGAAACAGTGAAGGGAGTGGGAGTAACCATTGAACACACATCCCAGGTGTCAAGTGGCAAAGTTATTGGCTGGCAAGCTTCTCTAAGAATTTGGCATTGAGGGTTGCCACCTGCTACTTTCCTAATTAATTCTTCAAGACTGTAAATGTGGGAGCAGCTATAGAACTGACCCAGTCCCAAATGCCATTCTAGTTAGGTATTTCCTGTCCTGAGGATACAGGTAATAAATAGAACTCCATAGATGGAAAGGCCTTATCAGTTTGCTTGGTTGTCTTGAATAACCAGTTACTAGGATGTCATGCCTAATGAGTATTTCAGCTTGTGACTAAAGGTTTTTCATAAGAAGCGGTGTGCAGAGACTTATCTTGAAACCAAAAGAAAACTTTAAATCTAATGTGAGGAATACGAGCCTTGAGACATGTGGAACAAAGAAAATTCCACCACTGGAACTGGTCCATTGTACCTGTCAGGCAACCAGCACATATGCAAGATTTGTTACCATGCAATAAGAGTCTCTCAAGGAACAGAGTGGAAGAAATCCAAATGTATTTTGAGATGAGTAGAGACATCCTGAAATCCCTTGCAGCTTCTCCCTTCAGTGTTATTAAAAAGCAGATTTTTGGGAGCATTCAAAAGTTGTTCCAAAAAGCTATGACATTTCCTTTGGCCAGATCAGGCATATAACCGGGATGAATAAATCCCTGTCGAACAGAAACCTATACTTTAAAATAAATGGGAGTTAGGTGCCTAAATCCCTTTGGGGATATGGGCCTGCATCCAGGTTTTATAGATGGCAAGGGTGTATTTTATTGACTCTTCTACTTATTTCTTTCCTTTATCGATTTCTATTAGTCGAGGATGTCCTGTGCTGCCTATTGCATCTCATCTGTTTAGCGGTTCCTGGTCATAATACAAACCATTAGAAAGATGGCATTGTAACCTTGTTTTTCTAAGCAATCTGTTTTAAACAATAATTTATATGTTTTTAAAGGTTTCTCACTCTTTTAAAGAATGTCAGCTGTGATTCAGTAATGTCAAAGAACAGAGAACAGCTCTGGGTCCTGTTAATCACAATAATAGCATTTGGGATTAGAAGCTATTCCTAGCATGAGAGAGCTAAGGAAAGGGGTTAAACATGATTAGGGCCCTACCAAATTCACAGCCATGCAAAACACGCCATGGACTGTGAAATTTAGTGTTCTCCTGTGAAATCTGGCCTTTTGTATGCTTTTACCTCATGGGGGAGATGAGCATTTCTCAGATTGGGGGTTCTGACTCAAAAGGGAGTTGTAGGGGAATCACAAGGTTATTTTAGGAGGTTCACGATATTGCCACCCTTACTTCTGTGCTGCCTTCAGAGATGGGCAATTGGAGAGAAGTGTTTTTAATGTTCACCATGTGCCCAAGCTCTGAAGGCAGCACCCCGCCAGCAGCAGGGCAGAAGTAAGGGTGGCAATACCAAACCCATGTCACCCTTACTTCTGTATTGCTGTTTTCAGTGTTGAGCACCCGGAGAGTGGCAGTTACAAAGGTCCCAGCTTTCCAGGCAGCAGCGCAGAAATAAGGGTGGCAATACCATACCATCCTTATTGCTGCTGGCAGCACCTCTGCCTTCAGAGGTGAACCCCCAGCTAGCAGCCACCACTCCCTAGCTGCCCAGCTCGGAAGACAGTGCTGCTGCCAACAGCAGCACAGAACTAAGGGTAGCACTACTGCAATCCTCCCTACAATAACCTTGCGACCCCTACACATCTCCTTTTTGGGTCAGGATCCCTACAATTACAACACCGTGAAATTTCAGATTTAAACATCTGAAATAATGAAATTTACCATTTAAAAAAATCCTATGACCATGAAATTGACCAAAATGACTCATGAATTTAGTAGGACTCTAAACATAATAAATTCAATGCATCTCCACTATAACGTCACTATTTATAATTTTTAATTAATAAATCCTGTCTTTCAGCTCCAATTAAGCAATTCTCCTTGTCTTCATCTAATAAAATACATACTTGTTGCCTTTTAAGCACAGATGAGACTGTTTTATTTTGCTCTGCTGATTTATGAGCTCTTGGATATGTTCTTGTAAGAACTATTACAAATTGGAGAGAAGTTATACGCACAGATCTTGATACTTTACTTTTTGGCATGTTTAGAAAGATCTAAGCTTTTTCCATAAGAAGGTATTTTCTAAGGACCAACTTTTGTCACTCCTAGTCCCTTACTCTAGGAGTCAATTGGACTACATAAAGTGCTATTCATCATAGCGTCAGATTGTAAAATCAGGTCTCAAATTAGGGTTTAATTGCATTTTGTTGTTTTTCTGTGCCTGTTTTCGTTTAAAATACTGTAATGTCTGGAAAGTGCTTATTTAATTATTTGTTCCGTTTCCGTGGAAATGCTTTTGTAATGATGTCAGTGATGTTACTTTCAACTAAATAAGCCCTGTATGCTGTCTCCTCCTTAGAAATTCATCTTTATAATAATCTTTGAAAGAATAAGAATTCTCTTTGTTCATTCACCAGCTTGTATTATGATGGATTTGCCAAAGTGAATTTTAAAAGATTAGAGTAGACTTACTTTTAAGATCAGAAAATCAATATAATAAAGAAGGATGCAAAAGACATGCAATTAATCATCTTTTGTTTGTTTTTGCAACACAGGACTGTTGCAACTCAGACTGGAGAAGATAGCTCAAGGTATCATTTGATGAAACAACTGAATGTTTCTTTAAAAACACCCTCCAGGTGTTAGTAAAGCACTTTGTTTTTTTGTTTTTGTTTCTTAAGATGATTGTACAGAAGTGTTTAGTTAATTGCATATTTTTAGAGATGTGAAACATACCCAAAAACTCAAGTTCAAGTTTCTGTTGTTAAAACATCTTTATCTGTGGCTGGACAGCATAGGATGGATCACTCAATAATTGCCCTGTTCTGTCTATTCCCTCTGTAGCACCTGGCACTGGCCACAGTTGGAAGGCAAGATTCTGGGCTCAGAGGACCACTGGTCTGACTCAATATGGCTATTCTCATGTCACCACTTCATTGATATTAAAGAAATTGGCTGCTGCTTTGTATTTTTGAGTGCCCAACTTGAGACAACTAGGACCAGTTTTTCAGAGGTGCTAAGCATCCATAACTTCCCTTGAGAGCAGCAGGAGTTCTGAAAAATCAAGCCCAAGGTCGAAAGCTTGGCTCTACTGAAATCATTGGCAAAGCTCCCATTCACTTTAGTGAAGCCAAGATTTCACCCTAACTTTTTAAAGTCAAGCACTCAGAAAATGGAGACACCCCAAATTAGACATCCTTGAGCCTATTTTATAAGTCATCAGTGGTGGGATTGTGTGTCTTTGTGTGTCCTGAGAGCTCTTTAGGCAGGGAAAAGCTTTTTGTTATCTGTGTTGTATAGCACTTAGTCAATACGGTGCAGATCTTCTCCAAGCTAGTGCAATGCAAACAAATAGAATAATATTATTTTCAAGCATCTAGCACTAGGGATGTAATAGTTTACATGGCTACATGCAGCCCTCATGTCCTCCCCCACTCCTAGGGTGCTGCCTCTGTATCAGCAGCCCGAGAGAGAAGGAAGGAGGTGGGAACCGGTACAAGAGGGGAGACCCATGAGTACTGGCTCCAGCAGAGCCCCCTCCCCCCCACCTCCGCACTCCTCCCTCTCGTACAGCATGGAGGGGAAGTGAGAGCCAGTATACACACAGAGCCAGCTTTTAAGCCAGCTCCCTGGGAGCACCGGCTCCTGCTCCTCCCACCCCCACCATTGCACTGCTGCCTCTGATACAGAGGCAACAGTATGTGGGCGGAGGGGCAGGAGGCTCCATGGTGGGAGCAGGTGCTTGTGAGGAGCTGGATTTCAAGAGCCACAGGCTTTCAAGAGCCTTTGGCTCACAGGAAGCCACCCACTCCGAATGTAAACATGTAACTGCTAAAAAATTTAGCAGTTAACATTTACATAAATACACACATTTTAACACCCCTATCTGGCATCCTCTTGGTTCAATACAAATACATAGTCATACTGATCATAGATTAGCGTCTTATTGAAAAATGTAAGTTACTGTAGTGTAATTTGTAAAAATGTAATAACTGTAGTGCTTTGAAAGGCATGGTGTAGTATTTCAATAAAACAGCTTAGTAGTTGAATTAAAAGGTGGCATAAAATCTGGAGATACTGACATCTTGTTGTTTTTCTTTTAAACCCAGCTGCATAGTTGAAGAGCCCTTGGCCCAGGTAATCAAGATCTCTTGGCTTTGCCTCATTGGAATCCAGCAGACTGTGGGCAGGTGCTATACAAACTTTTGTCAATGCTCCTCACTCCATCTCGACCTTCAGAATAGACCTGAGCCTGTGCCATTCGAACTGCTTCAGTCATGTGAAGGAGTGTATCCGTAGTAAATGTGGGCAGATGACTGGAGTGAAACCACAAAAATTATTCCTTTGTTACCTTAACCAAGATTTGAACTAGGCATATAAAACCCTGTTTAATCAGTTAAACATAACATTTATCCGGTTAACTGGTTAAATGGGGTGGGCAGGAGACCACCAGCTCAGCCGTGTTGCTGTGGGCAGGGGCTGCTTTGGCTGGGCTGGGGGCTCACTATGGGGTGGAGGTCTGGCTCAGCTGGTCTGGAGCAATCCCCACCCATCTCTGGCAAGGGGCTGCTTGAGCCCAGCTGGGCCACCAGTAAGAATCACCCGATGAGGATGATGCTTACGGGTTAACCATTGACATCTCTAATTTGAACTGAGTTCTCCAACAGGTCAAGGCTGCCTTCTTAGTGTCAGTGCTGCAGCCCATACTCCTGCAATGAGCAACCTAGGCTAGTGAGTGGGCCACCTGAGTAGCCCTTCATGTCTTTGGGCCACAAGATTGTCAAAACCAAGATGGTCTCCCCAGATAGGATAGTTTTGCTTACTGCACTTGCAGGTTGTGCTGACTGAACTGTAGCAGCACTGTGATTGACTGAGAGCCATGCACTCCTTCTGCAGCCAACCAGCACACACTTCACTTCACGTGCCCTTGCTTTATGGGAGTGTCACTTTAGTAATACTAGTAGGAAAAAAAACTAACGTGGCTAGAAACCAGCAGATTCTAGCAACCTTGCAAATGGGCAAGAATAAACACAATGCCCACCACTGCCATACTCACTCTCACGGAAGCCAACAGACCTATTGTAGTCACTAAAGACTTTTTAGAAAAGGATTGCAAGATCAAGACCTGGCTTTACCTGAAATACTTTTCTTCTGTGGCACTTTTCTATCTGAAGAAGACTGGTATGTTAATGCCATTATTGCTTTGAGGAAGAATAAAAAAACATTGTCTAGTTGTTGTGATAAACCAAAGTCATGCTTAGACTTCCACACAGCTTTGAAACTAGCCATGTGTTACTAACTGGAATTCATTTATTGTAATCTGATGACTTTTCCAAATCAATTAATAAAGAGTACGATAAAAACTTTCCACTGCTACCAGAAATGAAGTGGTCATAGTTAATAAAAGAATCATTTGAACTATTTTTAAACATGCAGAGTGAAAATTTTCATGTACCCTTATAGGAAGTTAATCTGTTATTTTTAGAAGAGACATTTCCAGAAACTATTTGTATTTCTAGGAAATGGTAACCATCTTGCTTTCTCTTCACAGGATGAGTCTCAATGGTAGAAGAGCAATTTGACTTTAATATGTCTGGCCGCTGCACAACATATTTGACATTATTTCACATTTAACTCTTACTGAACAAATTATTCAAATATAGATATTTATATTAAAAATAAAGGTGTTCTAATCCCACTGATGCTTTGTTCTAGTCCAGTTACTTTTAAAACATTCTGATGACAAAAGGATTTCTTAGAGCCAGATTTTATATGTTTATTTTGAATGGCTCCCTACTCCAATTCCAGTAGAGTCAATGAGATTACTGGTGCAATAAAATGCTATTCAGTGCAGGTAAAGTGATCAGAATCCAGTCCTTGTCATTTAAGATTAAATGGATTTTCCTTTTCTCATTTCAAAAGGAAGGACGACATAGGGAAATTCTGCATGAATAAGGGGGGTTTCTATCATTTTCTTCCAAATAATTGTATACAAATTCTCATTTAAGAAAATCACCTTTCACTAGCTGTACTTAGCATATAATAGCTGGCCCATCTCGTCAGGTTACAGATTTCTTTGCCAACCACTCAGCGTAGCAAGTTTCCAGATACTGACACAGCATCATCTAAGGGATTGGCTTGAGGGTGGTTTCTCCTGATAACAGTGGGACTCTACAGTCATTCTTTGCATTACACGTATTCCCTTTGAGTAACTGACTTGACAGGTATCAAGTAGCTTCTTGCAACTATAAAATTTCAGTCACGTTTTGTGACATTCATATATAACTATTCCAGTTGGCTTGTTTAATCAGAAACCTATAATGACATCCCAAAGATAAGAGAGAGTACGCCAAACTGTAGCTGGGAGGACAAGAAACCATTCAGCACAAAACCAAAACAGTGTTATGGAATAACTTTCCATTTTGTGAGATGTCACTGACATTGTGTAATCCTTCTGCCACATAGGCCTGGCAGTAACCAGGGCTGGGTTCAATATCTTGGGGTCCATCTCACACAGAACCGGCTTGAGCCCCCACCCAGTAATCTGGGAAATTCACACACCCCTGGGTGCCTCTGAGAGGCAATGCTTCCCCACTCGCAAGCACAGTCTGAGTGTAGGAAAGAAACATTTAATGAAACAAAGAGGCTACGTCTACACTGGCATGATTTTCCGAAAATTCTTTTAACGGAAAAGTTTTCCGTTAAAAGTATTTTCGGAAAAGCACGTCTAGATTGACAGGATGCTTTTCCGCAAAAGCACTTTTTGCGGAAAAGCCTCCGTGGCCAATCTAGACGCAGTTTTGCACAAGAAAGCCTGATCGCCATTTTCGCGATCGGGGTTTTTTGCGGAAAACAATACTGTGCTGTTTACACTGGCCCTCTTGCGCAAATGATTTGCACAAGAGGGCTTTTGCCCAACGGGAGCAGCACAGTATTTCCACAAGAACACTGACGATCTTACATGAGATCGTCAGTGTTCTTGTGGAAATTCAAGCGGCCAGTGTAGACAGCTGACAAGTTTTTCCGCAAAATCAGATGATTTTACGGAAAAACTTGCCGGTCTAGACACAGCCAGAGAGAAGTCATACGGCATTAACTTGGGGAAAACACCACAAACAGAGTTCATAACCCAAACATGAGCTAAGCCACCCGCCCCCCGCCAAGAATCACCTGAAGTCCGAAGAGTCCGACACCCCAAAAGTCTCTGTCCCTGGTCAGTGCCACCCAGAGTCCCAAAGTTCACCCACAGGGTTTCACCTCCCAACCTGGGTAGAAATGGGGAGTGGGGGGATAGATAGGGAGCACCTTACAGCACTCCACCATGATCCACCAGCTGTCTCGTCCCACGCCACCAGATACTCCACTGGTTGCCCGCCGCCACTCCTCACCTGCTGCCGCTCTGCGCCACGCCGCTGGTTGGCACTCCACCATGATCCACCAGCTGTCTCGTCCCACGCCACCAGATACTCCACTGGTTGCCCGCCGCCACTCCTCACCTGCTGCCGCTCTGCGCCACACCGCTGGTTGCTGCTCCTCACCTGCTGCTGCTCCGTGCTATGCCGTTGGTCGCTGCTCCTTGCCTGCTGCCGCTCCACACCATGCCACTGGTTGCGCTGGTCGCCGCTCCTCACCTGCTACTGCTCCTACCGGCCACGCCACTCCACAGGCCAGTGATTCCCACCAGCCACTCTGCTGGCCGCCGCCACTTTGCTGGCTGCAAAGGGGCTGGCTCTAGTTATTTCAACTCTTTAGCCACCAGCTGGACTGGTAAAGGAAGCCAGCTTCCACCCGACTAGCAAAAGAAAAGACTCCTCAGAGGCTGTGTCTACATTGGCGTGATCTTACGCAAAAGCGGCCGCTTTTGCCCAAAACCTTGCTGCCTGTCTATACTGGCCATGAGTTCTTGTGCAAGAACACTGACGTTCTAATGTATGAAATCAGTGCTTCTTGCGCAAGAACTATGATGCTCCTGCTCAGGAATAAGCCCTCTTGCACAACTGTTTTTGCTCAGGAGGCCAGTGTAGACAGGCAACATGAATTTCTTGCGCAAGAAAACCCTATGGTTAAAAAGGCGATTAGAGCTTTCTTGCGCAAGAGAGCGTCTACACTGGCACGGATGCTCTTGCGCAAAAGCACATCTCTTGCGCAAAGGCACGTGCTTAGGGCTCAACAAATAAGACAATCTACTCACCTGTGGCAACCCGGAAGAGCTGGGTTCAGGCAAACTGCTCATGCATAGATCGCTGGACAGCACGGTTGACAAGCAAGGCTCGCCACAGTTCGGTGAGCCCTGCACATACCAGTATAGACGCTCTCTTCTGGAAGAGTTTTAGCACAAGAACTCTTCCACAAAAGAGTTCTTGTGCAAAATCATGCCAACGTAGACACAGCCGGAGAGTCTGCTTTAGGTCTGTCCTTAAAACAAAGGGGGAAAGGGGTAGGTTGGGCCAGTCTTACAGCTCACACCTGGTAGGTATGAAGAAGGCTGACTCAAGCCCTTTAACCCTCTTCTCCCCGCTCAGTTCACTCAACTCCGGAAGGGGGGAGGCTTTTTCCTCGGAGACCTCTTACAATGATGGTGGTGTCTCCCCTGCAGGCATTGGTGGCATGTTTTACAGTTCCCACATTTAGGGGTAGCATGATTAGTGACCCCCACAACAGCCCCAAATTATTTACAATTCTCCACATTCCATTCCAACACTGACCCTCCATCAGCCCTGGCTGAATGGGATTTACATAGCCACACCTCATATTCTCTCCCATCCTGGCATGAGCTGTATTTCCATATCAACAGTTAACAGTTAATTATCTTGCAGATCTAAACAATTGTAGCGGGTACACCCACCCCTCCTTTTAGCTGGCTGATTGCAAGCAGCAGTTCAGCCCCTGCTTACAATTGGAATTCACAGCTAGAAAACTGTTTGGATGTGCGCACTCGAATCAGCTGTCTCAGTTGTCCAGACATCAGTGTCTGTTTTCCACTAATATCATGTCTGCACGATGAACTAGTTAGCAAATGTACAACGTTTCAGTTATAAAGCTCCCATGCCTGCGGGTGAGACATAGCAGGACTGCAGCGAAACACATGATCAGATATCAAGCCAGAGAAGATAATCCTTTCTGTACATCCTGTCATTGCTTCATGTGCGAAGCTTCTGTTGAAATCAATGAGAGCACTGCATGTGAAAGGATTGCAGGATCAGATCTGTATATTATCATGCCACACCCAGCATGTTAACACTGTTGTCAGACAGCTATATGTTAGGCGTGAAATGAGGTCATCTGCATCTCTGTGAGGGACAGAACAGTCTTATAATGAGAGCGACATGTTGGAAATGTTGCCTTGGATTTCATTACTGCCTGGCTGTGTCATGGGAGACTAACCACATTCAAAATATACAGGTCTCTGCATGTCATCCAAAAATATATTGCATCTCTTGTACTTTTTAGTTTGACATTGTAGGCCAAAGTCATCCTTGATGAAAGAGGATACAGCTTTGGAGTGAACTATAGGCCCACATTAGGTCTGGATCTGGTCCCATAAATTAATATTGTCAATGCACAAACAAAATTATTTTCCTATCATATTGCTAGCTAGAGGGGTAGTAAGCTACAGTGGATGTAACATTAGATCACCAGCAAAAACAACCACTTGTTTAAAAAGCTGCTAATGAAACGGACCTATAGGACATGAAAAACTGATAAATACAGTAAGGGCTTATTGACTGTGATGCGTGCATAGCTTTGTGATATTTCTCCTTCCTCTGGTTATCTAGAGTATGTACTATAGGAAACTTCCTAGAATATTTAATGGGTTCACTTTCCTTAGCTTTTCTGTCTAAGGTATTCTGATGGGATAGAGCACTGAACTAGGCCTCGAGACATACAGTCTAGTCTTGACTCTGCTACTGGCTCCCTCCATTTCTCCATCTGTAAAATGGGGATAATGATGTAAATTTCTTCGAGACCCACTGATGAAAAGTTCTACATATTATTACATGACCCCCCGATGATGTAGGGTCTGTCACCTCACAATCATTAATGTGTTTATTCTCACAGCATCCAGGGGAGAGAATGATTCTCCCCATTTTCCAGATGGGGAACCTAGACACAATGGCTGTGTCTAGACTGGGCAGTTTTTCCGGGAAAACAGCCGCTTTTCTGGGGAAAGTGTCCGTCTGCTATGTACATTGGACAAACATCTCAGACACTTCGCCAAAGGATTAATGCCCACAAAACAGATATCAGACAAGATCACAAAGAGAAAACAGTTTCTTGCCACTTTAACCAGAAAGGACACTCTCTAAATGACTTAGCCACCTGCATTCTGCTACAAAGACCTTTTACATCTGCACTTGAAAGGGAATCCTCTGAACTGTCATTCATGTTAAAATTCGACACTTTCCAACAAGGACTTAGTTCAAATGTTTGTTATCTCACCCATTACCAAGATAGTTTCCCCAATTATCACCTCTAATACCATTAACTCACAAACATCCCACTCTCCCTACCTCTAATATCATCAATTCACAGACACTTACCTTCCTTCCTCCCCCTCCCCCACCCCGCATCTCCCTTCTGTTCTGCAATGTGATTTGTCCTTTTCATATTTGTTCTTTTTTTTAATTGTATCCTTTGGTATATATGGTTGTGACTATTTTCTTCCACTATTTGATCTGAGGAAGTGGGTCTGGCCCA